GAACACATAACAAACATTGTGAGGAAAAAAGCTGAGTAGCGGAGACTCTGTTATCTGCTGTATTGATAAGCTTCTGCTAATCACAAAATTCAATGTATCATCTCATTTATAATCACTGCATTATTATAATGTATTATATAGTGTATAAAAGTCTATATTTAGAACACCTGGATGGTTTGCTGCTGAAATAAGGACAGTAAGTGTAGGTACCAGTATACACGGTACTAGATGTGATTACAGATATCAATCCATATACATTTAATATTTCACTCCTACAAATATTATTGTGTTTAAATTCAAGATAAGTGGTCTTGATTGACCATTCAAAGATGATATAGTTTAAATCAGTTCAGGAGTGCTGTGCAACAATATACTAGTATGTAGTTTTTGGAGATCAGGTCTTCCAACAATCTATTGGAATATCCATGGGTATCAATTGTGCCCTGTTATTAGCAGACCTATTTTTGTATTCATTTGAAGCAGACTTTGTTCAAAATCGTATACGTGAAAGGTAGAAAACACTTGCTGTGGCCTTCAACTCAATATTTAGATAAATCGACGACGTATTGTCAATTAACAATGGTTATTTCCATTCTTATGTCGATACGATATATCCCAGTGAGCTTGAAATAAAAGATACCACAGAGTCTGACACATCTGTTTCATATTTGGATATTTTACTGGAAAAAGACGTTAATGGTAATCTAATAACCAAGCTTTATGATAAACTTAATGACTTCAACTTTTTAATCGTCAACTTCCCTTACTTATGCAGCAATATGCCTTCATCACCTGCATACGGGGTTTATATTTCTCCGTTGATTTGATACGCAAGAGCATGCTCTACGTATGAACTATTTCTAAAAAGAGGTAAGTTATTGAAAAACAAGTTGATGAAACAAGAATATCAGCAGTCTTGTTTAAAGTCGTCATTTCGTAAGTTCTATGGTTGATACAATGACCTTGTCAGCAAATACAATTTATCATTAAGTCAAATGCTGACTTACGTTTTTCATACTATTAAATTATTGTTAGGCCATTATTTACATATTGAATTATCGACGGATTTTCCCGTTATTTCCCGGTCATGACAAGGAGCACACGGCGGGTGTGACCTGTCGGCAGGGGATGCTCACTCCTCCATGGCACCTGATCCAACCTCTGATGTTTTAGAGGTCCGTGTTTGCTCGGCTTCAAAATTTGTATTGTTTAATGGACTTTCGAGTTTGAATACTGTTCGTTATCTCCATATATTTCATTTCATTCAAAAAATGGCAGTAAATATGAAATTGCAAATACGTTTCCAGACTTTTTTGATAGATTTTGATGATTTAATACAAAAAATTGAAGAAGGTATTTTAATGTCAGTTAAATTTGCCATTGTTGATAATTTACGACGAGGTCTAGAATTCAATAATTATAGCAGTTATTTCACTTTAGTTGTCCCTTATAATGGTAAAAAAATATTTACTACAATGACAAACCTTTCTTTACCTTCCGGCTGTTATTGATATTTTTGTGTGCCACGCGTTTCGTACCATAAATAAAAAGATTTCCGCTTATAAATCACAATTTGATAAATATGAATAACAACTTTTTCGAATATAAATTGGATGATTTGAAATATAAATCGTAAGTTTATGAATATGAATTACAAGTTTTCGAATACAAATGTTTTTGATTAGATTACAAGATTCCAAATTTATTCATTATTTTATATAATGTATGATATTGCAATGATTTATACCCCATACCCCAAATTATTAATTTTTTTTTTCAATATGTAATGATACAGTATAAAGTGCATGTATCCGTTTATCTTTACATATTTTTTTTTCAAAATTAAACCCAAAGCTTGAGAAATATAGCCATGTGGTACCGGTGGCCACTTTGATTCCAAATTTCACTTAAAAGATGGATCTCCCTTTTTTGGTTACAGTATGGTCGACCCATCTCAGATAATTGTATCTTTACAAATATTTTGTAAAAGGGGACCGCAATAAGCACAATCATGAATCAGGTTTTTCAAATTTGGTTATTTATTTGTTTTTGTTTTTGTGTTTTATTTTCTTTTATTTTCTTCTTCTTGTCAAAAATTGTCAGGGCATTTTACTTTTGCTTGTCATTTATTTTTCTAGCTGACCCCCTCAGTTGGAAAAATGATTTTGCTCCTTTCGGATTTGCTCTTGATTTATACTATTTCCTGTGACATCCGTAATTAAAATACTTGTATATGTTCAGTTCACAGATAGGCTAATGCGCTACTATGATTCCTACTATAAAGCAGATTGTAGTTTAAAATTGGTGAAAAAAAAATAAAATTTTAGTAAATTCGAATTTTGAGCAAGTTCATGGAAGCTTTTCTGTACAATTTATGTACTTTCATTACGACATAAATTATTAAATTCTGAAACAGTTCAAATGGCTTTCTTTGCATTATAATATATTGCATTGTTCTACATACGTTTCAGGCAATATTGGCTATCAGATGAGACATTTACTCTATTCAGAAATTACTTAAGACAAATGAAAAATAAAAAAAAAAGATATTTACTTCGAAAAAAAGTACTAGAAATTGTCACTATGGTTAACATTAATACATGCATGATTATATTATATATAATGTTTATAGTCGAATTTACGTAAGCCGGTTGGTGTCAGGTAGAAAAAATATTTTATCTGGCGGCCGCCAAATAATTATCTGGGGGCCGCCAGATAAATAACTGGCGGCTGCCAGAAACTTATCTGGCGGCCGCCAGAAAATTTATCTGGCGGCCGTCAGATAAATTTTCTGGCGGTCGCCAGAAGGTTAACTGGCGACCGCCAGATAAATGTGGCGGCCGCCAGATAAAATATTTTTCTACCTGGCACCTACCGGCTTCCGTACGAATTTACATGACAAACATAAAGATTTTTAAAACATTAGTTGGAGCTGATCGAGAATTTACAGGAATGGTCCTTTGAATGTTGCTATAATTCGTCATGCATGGCATTAGGTCGCCCTTTCTCAATTACTTTCCTTAATAGATCTGTGGCATCAGGTTTGAGATTTTCTCCTTCTGTTACTGGAGTGTCTAGAATAGCGTATTTTTTGGTGGCAGTATCAAAGGTGGGCCACTTTGGAAGGTCTTCTGAATTTGGATCACTAGAAAGAAAAAAAAAATAATATAGACATCTTTGAATATTATAGAAGTTAGGTATTTCCTTTTAATAGAAGCATAAAAGAGAAATGTTCAAAAACAGAAATAAATGTAAGATCAAACATATTTTTTTTATTGTCAAAAGCATATGATTTTTTGTTTTTCGAGAGTTTCTAAATGTTGTTACCTACCCCAATCTAACTGAAATCAGACCTCTTAGACCCGCACAGTATACACTCTGCGTACGAGTGTCTACGGCGCGGATCTAAGAAGTCTGATTTTAATAGAATGGTACCTACCCATACTTGGCAAAGTTAGTCCAATACTTAACGACATCTTTAGACAACTTCTCTACAGACTCTAAGTCTTGTTTTTTCAGTATCTCCTCTGGTACATGATCGGAAGTCACGTTAAACATTAAATGCAATTCTTCGCCATGCCCTGCCCCTTTATACCAGTCTGGTAGTTCTGGGATGAAAGGAAAAGGAGATTGTTTTGTGACTAAGTATTGGAATGTTTTAGCTTTATCATTGTTTTTTGCATGAATTTCTAAGATAATGTTGCTAGGTACGATGAACATTGAATCGCCATGGAAGTCGGCAACTCTCATACTCTGCTCATTGTCACCCTCAGAGGTAGTGTAAAACTCGCATATTTCCCGAGTTAGTTCCGGAATATTACCCGCAGCTGTAGTAACAAACGTTGGTGCAAACATTTCACATAAAACGCTTACAGGAACTCGTTCTGATGCGTTGAATTTGAAGTGATCTTGAGTCTCTTCAGATAACATTAAAGGCAACGAATTCCCTTCGGCATCTAGTGTTCCCGACATGTAATCGATACTTCGGAAAAAGCGATAAACCTCGTCGTCCCAAGACTTTGGATATGCCAAATTTTCTTTGATCAAATCGCCATCAACTGATGGAACCAAACTTCCTAATTCAAAACTCATATTAAATTTCTCAAATTCCATCATAGGCACTGCTGCTGTTAAATTTTCTGCCGGTACACCTCGCAGACATCTCAAAGTTTCTGCAATATCCTCCTTACTTGTGCAGTTCGTATTTTTAAGCAACAATTCATTGGTTTGTTTTTCTTCTCGTCTCCTTGAAAGAGAAAAGAACGATACTACTCCACTTTGGGAAATGGCTCTATGAAAAAGTCCTTCGTTTGATGGGATCAATGTCTGGAGACTCACGCTCATGCCACCCGCTGACTCTCCAAATATAGTAACGGATTTAGGATTTCCACCAAAGGCTGCAATATTATTCTGGACCCATCGTAAAGCCTCGATCTGATCCCAAAGTCCGTAATTTCCAGGTGCAAGAGGGTCATGCAATGTTAGAAACCCAAGTAGACCTAATCTATAGTTAAAGGTAACAACGATTACGTCACCTCCTAGAACTAGCTTCTGAGGTTTGTACTGACTAGCTCCACCAATCATAAACCCTCCGCCATGAATCCAAACCATCACAGACAGATTTTTGTCCGTAGTAATTTTTCCAGGTACATATATATTGAGGTAAAGACAATCTTCGTCGTTTTCCAACGAATCAAAACCTGGTAATGGGAATATTACTTGAGTGCACTGTGGAGCATTTACATCTCGAATTCCTTCGACTCCTTCCCATTCTTCAATAGGTTTTGGTTTCTGAAAACGTAGATCACCTAATGGAGGCTGCGCATAAGGAATTTTTACAAATCTGTTCACTTGCCCTTCGTCGTAGAGTTCTTCGTATCCTCTGACCCAGCCAGAGGGAGTCTTGACCTCTACCACATTAATTACATCCGATCCAAACGCAAACATGATTAAGTATGCACCAACACATAGCAAGGGGAGGTGACTCATTTTTTGTTGTAGAACGTCTGGAAAAAAATATAATTGGTGTCATGAAACATTTGCTTTGCAAGCAGTCGAAAGAAATTCTGTATTCTTGTTAGTATATGGCTCGACATAATAAGCTTAATAAATGTGCTATCTCGTGTTAAATTTGTATGATTTCGAAATGGGACTTCAGAGTTACGTGGCTTGTTTGACTTCACCACGAATGTTTTTGAAAACTCATGGTCAATATTTTACTTGTGCTATATTTTTACCATTATCCCCACTAAAAATTACCTGAGTGTGTTTTAAACCTAACTGAAACAAAATATTGTTGTTTATTTTTTTTTTTTTCAAAATGAAAATGATTGCTAGACAAACATTGTCATGAAAATTTTCAATTAACGACCCTCCATACACTTTACACTAAAGAGTTCCGATTCCAAATTATTTCTACATGTATGTAGTTAGAGTAATCTCTCTTTCTATCTAAAATAAATATATTGAAAATTAGAGTACAGCATATTTCTCTATATTTAATTAACTCAAATATTGTTAACATTTTTTAGGCCAAAATAAACTTGCTTACCACTTAATTTGAATGTACATATACTTTCGCCGTTTAAATAAGCAACAGTGAATTGTGTTTACGTGCTGTCCTTGGTTTTTTTTCCTCGGCTAAATGGCAGGTTCCCGATGTTGAATATGAAGTAGATATGCTCAGTACTTACACCTTTGTATGATATAATTTTCTCAGTGTCTCAAAAAACAATTCCATTGGTGTTAAGAGGATCCTAAAGTTCAATATTATTATACGGCGCTGTTTTAATCCTACTTACAAACTGCTGATTTCGGATACAAAACATATTTATGATTTTTTTTTTTCATTATCACTATCAATTTAGGAAAGGGAACAGTATGAAGCCTCTTGCTTAACTAACTTATCAAAAAGGCATTTGTACAATTGAAAATAAAAAAAAAGTGACAAACCACCCTAAGGATTATGAAATGAATTGAAATTAATCAGGAAGTAAATACTTTTATTTCTTTCATATAAATTTGCGGATATTATAGATAAGCTTATTAATTTACCACCACCACCACCCCTGCAACCCCCCCCTTTCCAATTCCCTCCTATGCGTAATAGTGAAATGCATCAGTTTTAGAGAAAAAATATGGCAATAAACATTCACGATAAACATACTTTGAATTTAAAAGAAAAAAAAAGGATGGGAGGACGGGGCAAAATTTAACTCTAAGAAATGAGTAGAAAATACAATCATCTCCCCCTTCCATCCCCCAAAAATATCGTGCCATCATTATATTTGCACATAATGTATTTTCCTAGTAGAGAACGATATTGAGGCAACCCTTGCATTTACGCCTAAAATACAAAATCGAATATTACTGAAAATGTATTACAACCAGTGGTATAAAGATAAAGGGATCTAGGTTTCAGGCTGGTCGTGTAGAGAGGTACACTTAGTAGTTAAGCCCCTTACTTCTCTGACTGAACCGAGCAAATATTGATTGAACGTCTTTCTCAATACATGAAAAATTCTATGTAGGTTAACATTACTCCAGATATTTGATTTAGCCTGGAGATTTTATATTGAGACAACATTTGCCTTTACCATTCAGTTTCAAAATTGCAAATTGCTGAAATTAAATGCAAACAAAAGTCATAAAGATAAATCGACTGCATAGGAAATAAATTCTTACATAGGTATAGGGTATATAGAGGTAGAGACAATCTCTGATTAGAGCTCATAAAATGTAGAACTATGCGTCTTTATCAATAGATACCCAATAAGTAAGAAATTCTATGTAGATTTAAATTAGTCTATATATTTAATTGTCTATAGATACTGACCTGTTTCACTTTGAATATATAGCTGTTATGTGTTGCACCCCTCAATCTGCTCGAACAAAATAGCTGAGTTTGTTGTATCGGTGATATTAACTCGTATCAGTGCACTAGATTTTCACCTGACACACACAAGAGTGACAATTTAAAAGGATTGTTTGCTTTAAACCCGACTACAGAAAGCCGGACATGTACTTATTGTATTTGGTCATTTATTCCCAATTCGGACGATATAAAATGATAAACTCGTACTTGACGATACATAAAAAAAAAATCGTATATAAAAAAAAATTAGCAGAAGAGAATGGAAGATTGAGGAGTGCCATAAGTCAATCTAGACAACCTCTGTTTGCCAATTTAGAAGGAAAAAAGAGAAATGTCAAGTATTTTAGCTAGACTTAATTTCCCCCTCAATAAGTTTACTGCAGTTCGTATATATTTTGTATTTGTAATTACTAATCTCTTTTAAAACTTTATTTATTCATTTTCATTTTTGTAAAAGTCAAATATTTTTTTCCTAATACATCCCCGGTGTGATCTCCGTCACACATACGTTTTTCCCCCGGCTAGAGAATAAAAAATTCTCAATTTTTCATCCAGAAGCGCTAAATAGTCACTAAGATTATATTTGTTAAAGAATTTTTGACAATTTTCTGGACTGAGAAAAAAACCACTTTAAAAAAAATACAAATCGTAAACCTTTTCCTCTCAGAGTCTATACTTTCACAAGACTATATCGCGAACATTCAATAAAAATGAGTGTGTAATATTTCAAATGAAATCGGGGAACACAACACTAATACAGGTTCGTGGTACAGATATAGACCAGCAAAACTTCATTTATCTCTCATGTTGTAAATTTTTGATTTACTCGGTAGAGGTAAATGTAAAATTTACAACATAATTTCATGTAGTGGCAGGTATAATGCAGCCCATTAAACACAATGATTTTGGAGTGGAGAGTGTGTACGTGGATGGCGGTATATCAAAACTGTCTTGACACACTCGCAGTAAATATTGATTAATAGACTCTACAGTTGGAAAAACACCCTATTCTTTTCTGTTATATGATTTAAACCAGTCATTTTAAAAGTATTTGTATCTGTGCACAAACGACTTAATGGAGATTCAATATCAATTTTGTTTTTGATCATTTTATATTTTGAGAAATCTTCACGTTAAAAAACTAATAATAACAAGCATTCTGAGAGTATTGCATTAGCAATACTAGTCCCCTACCGGCAAGTGTAATCTGGTTCCCGTTAAGAATTGAAAATACCTTAATTCCGTCAAAAATCAATGAAGCGGGGCGAAATGCAAAGGCTGCACTTATCAAGGTAAAGTCACATACCAAAAATCAGCTCAATATCTGAAAGCGTTTAGAAGAAAATTGCGGAAAACCCCTAAAAATTGAAAAGGCCGTAATTCCGTCAAAAATCAATGAAGCGGAACGAAATGCAAACTTGATCTGTAACTCATCAGGATACACTCACATACCAAAAATCAGCTCAATATCTGCAAGCGTTTAGGAAAAAAGTGCGGAAAACCATGTGGGACAGACTGACAGACAGATAGACAGACAGACAGACAGATAGACGGACAGACAGACAGACAACAGACGGACGGACAGACTCAGAGGAAACCTATAGTCCCCTCCGGTTTCACCGGTAGGGGACTAATAATTATTATATGTATTATACCTTTACTAATTTTCCCTATATTACAAGATGTGTTTGTGAAACACTGATGCCCCCTATGGCAGCTTTTGGCGAAGGTTAAAGACTCGATCTCAAATGCAAGTTAAACTCCAGGTCAAAAGATCAAAAATGTTGGTACCCAAAGAAAGGTCTTGTCTCGAGGAATTTACCTGTGAAATATGAAAGCATTAACACCAACTGTTGAAAAATTATGGTGAAGGTTAAAGATTTTCAAAAGTAAGTAAAAAATCAAGGTCAAGGTCAAAGGGGGCCGAAGGGAAGGTCTTGTCACAAGTGATACACATGTATGTGAAATATGAAAGCCCTAGAACCAAATGTTCAAATGTTATGGACAAGGATAAAATATTTTAAAAGAGGGTCAAACTCCAAAATCAAGGTCAATTGGTCAAAATTGTTGGTATACAAAGGAAGGCTTTGTCATAAGGAATACTTATGTGAAGTATGAAAGCCCTAGCACCAATTGTTCAAAAGTTATTACCAAGGTTGAAGTTTTTCAAAAGTAGGTCAAACTCCAAGGTTAAGGTCAATGGGCCAAAATTGTTGCTATCCAAAGGAAGGTCTGGTCACAATAAATACAAATGTGAAGAATGAAAGTCCTATCTCCAATTGTTCAAAAGTTATGGCCAAGGTTGGAGTTTTCAAACTCCAAGGTCAAAGTCAAAAGGTCAAATTTGATGGTACCCAAAGAAATATCTTGAACAAGAAATAACATGTAAAACATGGAAGCCATAGCTCCAACCATTCAAAAGTTATGGGCAAGTTTAAAATTTTTGCGGACAGACAGATAGACAGACCGACAGACAGGACAAAAACTATATTGGCATAAAAATTACATCGTTAAATGTGAATAATTCTTTAGAAATCGCTGTGAATGGACTAATCCCGCGTTAGTCAAATGAGCTCCCTGTTTCGGAAGCTTATTCCCGGTTATCCGTAATCCTCTAGATTTTACTTTTGTATCGGTATGATATGTTAATGGACTAATAACCGTGCATTAGTCATGTGAGCTAATCCCCGCTCCGAGGGCTAAATCCCAGTTATATCAGTAATCCTCTTTTCTTTTTTTTTTACTTTTGTGTCGGTAAAATAAAACAGTTAAAAAGTATATCATTGAGAGAGTTAGCAAGATTCCTGTTCCCCTGAGCCTCGGGAATTGTCCTGGCTTTAAGGATTAGGAATCTTGCTAGCTCCCTCAACGATAATCTTTAACTGTATAATATACTCTCAAAATTCAGGTATACATCAGAAAGACATGTATCAGGAATTTTCCCTTATAATTACTTAAAACGAATGTGAAATTATAAAAATATACTATGATAGAGAGCCTGGCTAATATTTAAAATGCTCCAATGATGCCATGGGTTTGTTTTATTAACTGACATGGTAGACACGTTATCTTCTAATTTTCCCATCCTTTTAGCTTATATACTGATAAATGCATAATATGTTACTT